GGGTGGGGGGCAGGGAATCCCCTGGGTAAAAAAAAAATAAAAAAATCAATAGTAGTTAATAAAACATCAGGTGAGGAGACATAACTAGGTGTGACTATTGCGCCGCACAGGCCTGCACGACTGCACTGGGTGCCGTGGCGATTAGCCGTCCCGTGCAGACGGGCCTGGCTGGACGAGGTGATGCTTTAAAAAGTGAAGAGGAGGAGGAAAGAGGCACAACTGTCCAAGAAGAGAGGAGGCTGGCAAATAAACGACGAGCACCAACTGCAGAGGGGCGTGTCGAAGCCGTTTGAGAGACGGTGAGCTGGAAGGCTGGCTTTTCCACGTAGCTGGATCCGGAGTTAAACGCCACGATCGGGCCATTAGATCCGAGACGCGTGTTTGAAAATGTAAATAAAGAAGATATAAAGGCCCATTACTGCAATAATAAATAAACTGAAGTTGATTTTTACTTTTAAAAAACTAAGTATAATATAATCCAAGAGTATAACTTTATACAGACATCAGTGAAAAATACAAATAAGGCTTCTTTAATACATATTTTTTTCCCATTGCCTGTAGAGAAAACTAAATTCCTGACACATTTATGAAGGACGTAAAAAACAATAAGAAAATAATCAAGGCTGATAGCTATAAAGGTCTTACATCGTTCCAAGCATCTAACTCATGTCATTTTCTTATTTCATACCAGTCAGAATTATTTTGCAGCAAAGCTAAAAATACAGTTGCCAAGAATTGTCTGCATCATTCTTTCAAGATGATTAGATCAGACATGATGACTGTATTAAAACTGTGAAAGCGACAAATTATGATTATTTTATTATTTATACAGAGAATACATAGTTTTACTATATACTTTCATGTAGTTTTGCTATATATACACAAACATACATTATGTGCGTATATATTTATTTTATACATACATATGCGCTCGCACACACACACACAGAGATTACGGAGTAAAGCTGTATATCACACGGGTCATTGCAGCGCAAATGTACATAAAATACATGCGCATTTGCACTGTTACAACAATCGATTGTTGCACATGTTGCTTTGAAAGTTGCATGCGTACTTGTGTACCAGTAAACAGAATAGAGAAAATCAGCTCTAATGTACATTACTTAGGCTTGCATACTGTAAATATAGGCAAGTGTTTTTATTCATTCTGAATAATGAAAAGGTCTAAACTTTAAGTATGGAAGATTATAAGCACAAAAATTCAAATGGCAATTCATTTGACCCCCCGCTCTGCTGCCTAATGAAGGTCCACCTTGATGAGCGGTCTGACAGTTGGGAATTGCAAATTGAGTCCCCCCCCCCCAACATGCAATGCAATTGCCGGGGACGCCATTGCATTTGAATAGAGAGGCAAAAAACCCATGGCAATACGAGATGCAATTCAGTGCCTTGTTATTCTATTTATTATTCAAAATATTTTGA